TAAAATCAGCGGTGTCTGATGAAATCCACTGTTTTCAATGAAATCAACCATATTATCAAAATCAACTGTATCCAACAAAATCTGAGAGGCATCCAACAAAATCAACTGTATCCAATGAAAATTGCATATAATAAAATCAGCGGTATCTGATGAAATCCACTGTTTTCAATGAAATCAACCGTATCATCAAAATCAACTGTATCCAATGAAAATTGCATATAATAAAATCAGCGGTATCTGATGAAATCCACTGTTTTCAATGAAATCAACCATATTATCAAAATCAACTGTATCCAATAAAATCTGAGAAGCATCCAACAAAATCAACTGTATCCAATGAAAAATGCATATAATAATCTCAGCAGTATCTGATGAAATCTACTATTTTCAATGAAATCAACCGTATCATCAAAATCAACTACATCCAATGAAAACTGCATATAACAAGTCATGCATGGCACAGTCGCCGTTAGTTATCGAATTTAAGATATATAGTTTTGTTTATAGTAATATAGCTGGAACATAAACATGTCAGGAATATGATTATGATGATTGTTTAACATTAAAATGATTGACATTTGTATCTGATCGTCAAACGAGTATTGAGAGATATTGCTCTGGAACAGCATTAATTAAAACAAAATCAGCCATTTTGAATACATGTATAATGAATATATAAAATTTGAACATAATCAGTCAAAGCATGTCCGATTTTAAATCCCATCTGAAAAATAAAATGACGTGCATCAGGAACCCATAATGTCTAATGTATGTACCAAGTTTGAACAAAATCCATCCATAAATCTCAGAAATGCTTGATTTTTGGTGGTTTTTTAGCACAAAAATGGCCACCATTTGGCCATTTTGAATAGGATCGTCAAACAAATATACCTGTGTATCTATTACATGATTTATACTGAATATTTAAAATTTGAACATAATCAGTCTAAGCAAGACAGAGATATGGCACTAGAACCACATTCATTAAAACAAAATGGCTGCCAGTCGGCCATTTTGAATCTTACATGTATCTGAAAAACAAAATGATGTGCATCAAGGTCCTATAATGTCCAACGTATATACAAGGTTTGAACAAAATCCATTTGTAAACAGCCAGGAAATGCTTGATTTTGATGATTTTTTAACACAAAAATGACCACCATTCGGCCATTTTTAATAGGATCGTCAAACCAATATATCTGTATATCTATGACATGATCTATAATGAATATTTAAAATTTGAACATAATCAGTCACAGCAAGTCAGAGATATGGCACTAGAACCACATTCATTAAAACAAAATGGCCGCCAGTCGGCCATTTTTAATCTCATCTGAAAAACAAAATGATGTGCATCAAGGTCCTATAATGTCTAATGTATATTCCAATTTCGAACAAAATCCATCTGTAAACAGCCGAAAAATGCTTGATTTTGATGATTTTTAGCATGAAAATTGCCCCCATTTGGCCATCTTGAATCGATCAGATCGTGAAACAAATTGACGTGCGTATGTATAATATCATGTATGATGTATGTGTGAAGTTTGATTGTGATTGGTCCAGGCATTTCTAAGATACAGGTTCAGACGCACGCACAGACGCACGGACGGACACACAAAGGTCAAAACATAAGTCCCCGTTTTTGGACTGCGTTCGAACTGA